GCTCCTGGGGGCAGTGTGGGTGGTTGGAGGGCGCTCCTGAGGGCAGTGTGGGTGGTTGGAGGGCGCTGCTGGTGGGTCCTGGTTCTTTTCTTTCCTTCTGTTCTCTGTGTCTGCCAGTGTAACGGTTGCCGTGCACCAAATGGCCGTTACTGTGTCGATGCGCTTCTCCTCACTGTAGCTGTCTTTCTTTCTCCTTGTGGGTTGTTGGCGGGTGCTCTGGTGTGGTTTGCTTCTTCTTTCCTTTTATCAAAAATTTATCGTCCTCATCTCCCCTTCTTTTTTTTTCAATTTGTTACTCTCTTGTAACACCTCTAATCTCCTGGCGCTCATATGACATTACGCAGTTGCGAGCGCCGTAAAACCTCTACTAAAAAAACAAACAACAAAACTTCGGCACTTATATATGTCCTTATTGTGTTGCAAGAGCCGTAAAACTGTTACTAAATAAACCGGTGCTCCAATAAAATTCTGAGTTTTCCAGAGTGGGTTTGCGAAATAATGATGAGAGGGAAGCCACAGTAGACGATTGGAATAATTGTGTCCGTTACCATATTGAAGATCTTTGCTTTATATTATTATTATTACTCATTCTCTTGTTGCAGCTCTGCTTTGAAAAGCTGGAAAGTTTTTGCAAGCAGACCGTAATAGTATGTAGTGGGTGTTTGGTGGGTGCTCTAGTGTGGTTTGTTTCTTCTTTCGTATTAGTCTCTCCTTTTTTAAAGAATTGATATATAATTATAATATATATTATGCTAAAACTAACAAATTTAGAATTACGGGGAAAAACGACATACACATGCCGACAGTGCAGGCAATTAGGATTTAAAATTTTTTTTTTTTTTAGAAAATCGTGATTAATTTCATGTTTTAATGCCAAATCATACTATTATCATTCTAGAACAAATTCTTAGCAAAATTACCATTTAAAATTATGAAAAAAAAAATTAGACTTACCCTTCTCTCCATGTGTTCTGTTGTCAAGTAAACATTGTCTGTCGTCATTCCATGGGTCCAGGAACTTCACAAAACCACAACTTTCACAAAATGTAAAAATCACAAAAATGTTGCTGTCCCAGCTTCTCGAAACTTCACTCTACGATATCAACTAAAGATACACACACACAGTTGTCCCATTTCTGAGGAAAGTTGTTCAGAATACAGAAAGTGCCATTTTGCCATCTGCTGTGTTTTCCGCCTTGTGTTACTTTCCAGTAACACCTGGAATCTTGGGCACTTCTACGATGACTTATTTGTGTTGCAAGTACAGTAAAAGGCTTGTGGAAACGAAAAACTAAAAACAGCAACAACAAAAAAAAAACAAACACACACAAAAAACAAGAACAAAAACAAAAAAACCCCGAAAACAAAACTCGTATATGTGAAAGGTTTGGAGGCGGTTTCCAGGCCCAGCATCTTGACCCGCCACGTGGGTGGACTGTTTCTTGTGGGTGGTTGGCGGGGGCTCTGGTGTGGTTTGCTTCTTCTTTCCCATCAAACATCTACCGTCCTTATCTATCTCCCCTTCTTCTTTTTTTGTTTGTGTTACTCTCTTGTAACACCTCTAATCTTCTGGCGCTCATATGACCTTATGCAGTTGCGAGTGCCGTAAAACCTCCACTAAGACAAACAAGAGTGTCTCTCAGCAGTTGTCACATTTTTGTTTGTTGTTGAATCATGATAGATACTTGGTTTTCTACATTTGTATTTTTGTTATTAATGATTTGTTGGAACAATGTTGTTTGAACCGTAATAAATATTTAGTTTTCTACATTTGCATCTTTGTTATTAATGCTTTGTGGGTACCTCTCAGCCCGAGTCTGTCTGCTGGGATGCTGTATCCCTCTCAGCCCGGGTCTGTCTGCTGGGATGTTGTATCCCTCTCAGCCCGGGTCTGTCTGCTGGGATGTTGTATCCCTCTCAGCCCGGTCTGTCTGCTGGGATGTTGTATCCCTCTCAGCCCGGGTCTGTCTGCTGTGATGTTGTATCCCTCTCTTGGGCGTTTCATAAATCCATTCGCTAACACTTTGCTTACAGAACGGCTGGCTTGCCTAGAATAGTACTTGTAAATGACCTCATTGTGTTGCAAATACTGTAAAATTCTTACCAAAAAAAATAAAAATAAAATTGTAATTGGTGTCGGCGGTGACCTACCTGTGAGGCTGTCGGGCTGCTGACCGAAAGGTCGTGGGTTCGAGCCCGCCAGGGTGCCGGTGCTGTGTTCTGGGTAAAGGTGTTTTGTAACACGACTTGACCTTCCGTCAGCCAGGGTGCCGGTGCTGTGTTCTGGGTAAAGGTGTTTTACAACACGACTTGACCTTCCGTCAGCCAGGGTGCCGGTACTGTGTTCTGGGTAAAGGTGTTTTCTACGACTTGATCTCCCGTCAGTCAGGGTGCCGGTGCTGTGTTCTCGGTAAAGGTGTTTTGTAACACGACTTGACCTTCCGTCAGCCAGGGTGCCGGTACTGTGTTCTGGGTAAAGGTGTTTTGTAACACGACTTGACCTTCCGTCAGCCAGGGTGCCGGTACTGTGTTCTGGGTAAAGGTGTTTTCTACGACTTGATCTCCCGTCAGTCAGGGTGCCGGTGCTGTGTTCTCGGTAAAGGTGTTTTGTAACACGACTTGACCTTCCGTCAGCCAGGGTGCCGGTACTGTGTTCTGGGTAAAGGTGTTTTACAACACAACTTGACCTCCCGTCAGCCGCACAGATGGGAGCGGGTGCCTGGCTATAGGCGCCACAGATTTCGTCAGTGTGTCAGTGATTGGGCGCTGAATCGGCTGCTTGCACTGTACTCTTCCCAGGAAGCCGAGAATGTTTCACTGCTGGGGTAATCATGGATACACGCTATATAAATAAAAGCAGCCTACGTATTATCATTATCATTTCTTATCGGATTGTATGGATTTTTTATTTGTTTTTTGTTCTCTTCTGTCGGGGATGGAAACCGAGTACGTACCTGTCACGTCTCTTATTTGGGTGGTTGGCGGGTGCTCTTTTGTGGTTTGCTCCTTCTCTCTTATCAAACATCTATCGTCCTTATCTCTCATCTTTCTTTTTTTTTTGTGTGTGTTATTCTTTTGTAACACCTCTGTTCTTCGGCACTTTTATGACCTTATTGTGTTGCAAGTGCCGCAAAACTCTTTCTAAAACTAACCTAAACGTCTCTTATTCCTCAAATTCGCCGCATCCTTCGTCTCGGGCAAAAAACTACTAGTAGTTCTTTCCAATTTATATTTATATACTTTTTTTTCTCGTGTTTCACGTTCTCTGTTTGAAGACAGAAAAAGCGGGGACTGTTGTGAACGGCTTTTGCCAAGACGGACTGTATATGGACTGGCGTGTATAAAAAAAAAATTGTGGGTGGTTGGCGGGTGCTCTGGTGTGGTTTGCTTCTTCTTTCCTGTCAAACACCTATCGTCCTTTTCTCCCCACCTTCTATTTTATGCTTGTTACTCTCTTGTAGTACCTCTATTCTTCGGGCACTCATATGACCTTATGCAGTTGCGAGCGCCGTAAAACCTCTACTAAAACTACAACAAAAAAACTTTTTTTTACTAGCGTCAGGATTATGCTAATGACCGGGTCCTGTTTTTTGGAGAGCTGCTTTGATGTGTGTCTGTACCTACATGTCCGTGCATTCACTACCCACCACGGTGCACGCCTCTTGTAGCTGGCCCTCTGTTGTTACATATGTGTACATTCACTACCCACCACGGCGCATGCCTCTTGTAGCTGGCCCTCTGTTGTTACATGTGTGTACATTCACTACCCACCACGGCGCATGCCTCTTGTAGCTGGCCCTCTGTTGTTACATGTGTGTACATTCACTACCCACCACGGCGCATGCCTCTTGTAGCTGGCC